CCGACAGGGTAGGCAGAGAGGTGGTGGATGGTCAAGACGATGCACATGCGACGGGGTCAGATCAAGAGAGAAGCTCAACCCCCAAGCTTGAAAATACACACTGCCCGCTTCCACAATCAATAGGAGGGTTGGTTACACGGCTCGTCCATTGTTGGTTCGCCCCTCGGCTGGCAGTAGTGTGTGCCCTTGGCGTGATGTGCAGCGTTGGCTGCTTGGCGGTCGAGTACCCTCAGTCGTCCGTTCCGATGGTGTGGGGGTACAAGGGCCCGAGGCAAAGCGTAGCACTGCAAGAACCATGGCACCAAAATACCTCCCAACCTCACTACCGTTCCCGAGATGAACGACCCGCCTGTCCCTTTCTGCAAATATCTCGCATTCCTCCACTACCAGGCCAGTGGATAGCAGACAATCCCTGGGTGTTAACGTGTTAACCCTACAACTGCGCCAGTTTGCGAACTGGCAAACAACATGTTCAGGCATGCCTCTCCCAGGTGGTTGATGGGGATGGGTTCCATGCACACCAAGGGCATCGGGACAGGAGGTTTTTGGTGCCATGGTTATCGCAATGGTACCAACTACCGCCTGTCCCGGTGGACTATGCCCTTGGAGTGCATGAAGCACACACCTCGTCTGCCACTTGCGGGGCATACCTGAAAAATGTTTCGCTATTTACGTAGATGGGCGCTTGTTATCAGGATACCCCCACCGCGATTTATTTATTTTCGTGGTTCATGTGGATGCGTCCGAGATTTGTGCGCAAAACGTAGGGCGGAGGTGTGAGTGAGTCGTTCATCCAGGGAAGAGTGGGACAGGTTGGGAGGTCTTTGGTGCCATGGTTATCGCAACGGCACCAAGTGTTCTCCTGTCGCCCGTGCACGTGGCCCTTGTAGTGCGTGGAACTCACCCCGCCGACCATCCACCCTACCCTTCCCTAGATGCGCGACCCGCCTCTCCCTTTTGCACAAAGCTTAACATTCCTCGACAAGGCGAAAATGTAACAGACATTCCCGGGGTGTCATCCCTGACATTGCACCTGCCTCCGTTCTGGCGAAACCTTGTTCAGGTACGCCGCGCAGACGGTCGAGGCCGTAGAGTTCATGCACGGAAAGGGCCTGGTCCACGGGGATGTTAAGCCGGACAACGTCATCCTCGTCAAGAAGAGCGAGACCCTTACCGTGGCCAAGTTGGCTGACCTTGGACTATCGCGTGGTGGGACATGTGTGTGTGTGAGAGAGAGAGAGAGAGAGAGACAGACAGACAGACAGACAGCTAGAGGGCGCATTGCTTCGAGTAGTGATTGCATTGCAGAGCATTTGCTTCTTGCTAATAGCTCTCAAGTGTTGCGGACCATTCTTGGAAAAAAAACAACCAGAGACACAAGCCGCTGAACATGCGACTTCTCTCCGTCTCTACCCCCTCCCCCCCACGGCTGCTCATGCACATGGTGCCCGTCGCGTCTGGACCCTCCCACTGCCGCTGCTACAGAAGTGGGCACCACCAAGTACAAGGGCTTCGGTACGCTCGGGACCTCCATCACTCCCAACAATTACTTCGATGAGGTTCCCGCTGACAAGGCGGACGACGTCTGGGCCCTCGGCGTGCTGCTTCTGTCCTTGTTGCTGCCGCGGGGCCTGTTCTCGAGTAACTACTTGACGAGCCGCGTGCTCCAGACCGCCGCGGAGAAGGAGGCCCTCGCACGCTGCAGGACGAGCAAGCAGAGGCTCAAGATTAAGGTGCGGTCTAGTCCCCCCCCCGGTAGCGATAAATAGATCCGGGCCTCGGTCGCTTGCGCGTTTTTTTTGTCTCCCTTAATCTCGTGGCGCATTGGCTTGGTTGTCATCGGTCGTTGCCGTTGTTGTTGTTGTTATTGACATGAATAACCGTTTGGTTCTCTGATCAGAAACTTGACATCCGAAGTCTTTACTGACGCGGACACCTTCCGTGGTCTCAGACAAACTACCCACAGAGGCCACCACCGTGAATCGTCGAATGAGAACAGAACACACCCGGGCGTAATACCGATGTCATTTGAGTGCACTTGTTTTCGTTTAAAGGGGAAAGGGAGGGGTGCTTGCAACCAGCCAGCCGACCAGAGACGAATGAAACTATGTGGTCGTGTTTTTGTGTCGTGTGTACTGTATGGGGACATGGTTTTTCCGCCCTAGTTCGAGTATCAGTGCACGTATGCTCGTGTGGTGCCACGGAGTCGTGTCTATCAGAGACGTTATCTGCGTGAGCGAGCCAATGGCCTGGCATTTTTTGGGACCTCAGCCCCACAGCAGCAGCGCTGAGTTCCTGGAACGTTGAGACGCTAGGCGCAATATCGTTGAGCTGCGTGGCGTGTAAGCATCGTCTTCTTTCTTCCTCCTCCGGCGGGACATTGCGAAAACGAGAAAAAGACCACAAACCTGGCTGACCCTCGCTACCATGTGCGCACAGGTTCAACTGATGACAATATCGCCCCCCCCCCCGCCCCGTTATTTGCCGATGCCGCTGGATGTGCACGCGTGTGTTCCGCCCTCTTGCTTTTCTCTCCCTCCAGTACCGCATGTCCTCCCGCACGGCCAAAGATACGTCGGATAACGGTTTCCAGAAGAGGATGGTCAGGAGCATGCTGTTCGTGACTCTCGAGCAGCCGATACGGGTGAGTTTTCCCCTCACGAGCATTCCCCCGTCCCTGACATATTTCCCTCTATCGTGAAGCCGTAGATCCTACTCCCACTACACCCTCCCTCCCTCTCTCCCTTGAGTTTTTTTCCAGCATATATGCATGCTACGGTAGTATTGACACCTTTCATGAGAACAGTACCAAAACGCGATGAATCATCCATCGGGTCAGCCCACGTTTGTTCTCTCCGGCTCTGCTCGTGCATGAAGCTTCCCTCCTACTCTTGCTCCTTCAAAGTCATTGGGTCGCCGTTGCTAGCTACTGTCGTTCTTCTTTAAATTCGCTAGGATAAAGGTGACCTCAAACACACCACCCAACCCGGCGCTTTGGTGCATTGTCTTGTCTCTACCCCCGTCACCCGCCACTTCCAGGACACCGCCCGTGATTTTCTGCGGCGCATGGTCGACCCCGACGCCAGCAAACGGCCGGACATCTGCGAGGTGCGGGCGTGGTTGCCGTCCATCGTCCGGTCCGCGGAGAGGCAGACGGCGGTCATGGCGGCGGCCGCTCTGGTGCCGACAACGCCATCTCCCCCACCGCCCCGGTCGCCGCTGATGGCGAGGTCGAGAGGGAGCTCCGTGTCTACGATTTCGTTTTCGTCTTCCGGCGGTAGCTCGGAGTCTTCTTCTTCTTCTTCTTCTTCTGCGGCGAGAACGTCAGACTCTGCTTCTTCGCCTTCGGCCGGATCGGCGCCGTCGGCCGGGGGCTCCGTAGAACCATTCTCGTCTTCGGTCTCTTGCGGTAGGTCGGGAAATTACTCGGCGGTGGTAGTGCCTGCTGTCGTTCCCTTGACCTCGGGCGGATCGGTGCTTTCGGCCAGGAGCCCCGTGGAATCGGGTTCGTCTGTCTCCTCCTCCTCCGACGGCAGGTCGTGGAGGCTCGCCGTTCTCTTGGAGGACGAGGACGGTATGGAGGAGAGTGGCGAACGAGAGTACGTTTTCCCGAGCCCGTCCGCCGCCGCCGCCATCACTCCCTCGATGGCCGCCAGCTCTGGTGCACAGCGTGAGGGCGTCGACAACTCGGCCCCGGACTCTTGGGTGCCCTCGCACGACGTGTCTTCTCTCGCCCTCTCTGTCGGTGCGGCTGCGAGCGCGCAGGACGACGTGGCGCGCCACTCCGGTCCGGAGGACGCCTGGTCCACCGGCATCAGCGGCGTCGTCTCCGGCATCGATGCTGCCGTCGGAATCAACTCGAGCGCCGACATCTCCCAGCAGCAGGGCGAATTGTCTTCGAGCGCGGGCTCTGTTCGGTTTTCCACCGGGGCAGAGGCGGCGGCGGGCGAGAGCGACGGGCTTCTGCTGTTGCCGCTGCTCAGCGGGGGCGAGTGCAGCACCGGCTGGAGCCGGCAGTCCCGACGAGGCGGCGAGGGAGAGGCGACGGTGGATGCCGGGGCTGGGTCCGAGCCCGTAGCGGCGGGGCGTGCGAGCGTCGAAGGCATCGTCGACGGCATCGGCAACGAGGACACCGACGCCTCCGGCGCGATGGCCGTGACGTTGACTCTGACCCCGGCAGCGCCCGCGATGGCGTCGGAAGAGGGATCGATCGGTGATGGTGCCTTTGGCGAGCACTGGGCGGTCGGTGGGGGGCGGGAGTGCCTCGACGGCGGCGAGCGGGGAGAGGCGGCGGCTGCGGCAGCGGTGG